ATATTTTCACTGGGTTCTTCACAGCTTCATGGCTGCGCAGAGCAGGCCTCCCTTTGACGGTGTTAGACAAATCCTGAAGAGCCTTTCGTTCTTGAAGCTTAGGCTTCAGTGGTTTGGCCCTTGGTGCATCATCATCCCTCTTGCCTGAGGTAGAGAGACGCCAAGTGATGTCTGGAAGAATCTCTGGTTCCAGCTCCAGCTCTTTCGATTCTTCAGAAAACTTGGGAACCTCCTAAATCATAAAGAGACAGATTATAGCACATTTTTGGTTTAATGATGAGATGAGAAAAATGGAGAAGTCAAGAAATGGTGTTTTGTGGAATATTATGCTTCCACTTATGTTGATTACTTGCTTAAAAGTTACGAATTCAAATATATCAGATAGCGTATAAACAAATGGAGCTATATACAGCAGGAATAAATCATATGATGTATACAGAAGTTTAAACTTTAAACAGTAACTGATCATTTTGTATGTGTCAACACAACCACAAAAATACACTCAAGACACACAGATTTTTTCACCATTGGTCATAAAAGACTATACAAAAAAAAAGGTAAAGAAACATAATAGAACTAGTGCGACAAGTGTTTTAATGCTCTTAGAGAAAGAAAATAAACCAGAAATGTTGTTGACATGTGACATGATTATAGACAAAATTGAACTTCTATTGGTACCTATCACTATATCAGGGCGGCCATTAAGCTAAATGTACAGGGCAACATTTAGAGAAAACAGCCCAGGACCCCAAAAAACAAACTTATACCAACTTTAGTAGATACTAGCAGCACTGTTATACCAAATGACAAGTAAGATGTGCAGGACTGCTTCTTCTGATGTCACAAGATATTGTTAGGTGACATAAAATGAAAAATCTAAACCGGGACAAGATGTCCATATCTTGTGATGCAATACATATCCATAGATAAGCAGTATCCTTTAGTACTACTACTGGCAACGAAAAAAATTCCAACATCTAGAAACAGGGTAATTATATTCAAAGACACTTTACATTTCAGAATATGCTTCTTGATAAACAAATGCTGCAAGTGCCCATTTCTGAATCTCACAAGCTATCTTGTCAAAATAATTATTACCGGCAACAATACCAAGCTTGTCAGTCCATAGCAATATATAACCTTACATGACAAAAGACATGATATAGTTCATGCTAGACATGGATGAACCATCAAAATTAAGCTCTTCTAATCAATTTATCAACCAACTTCAGCTAGCAGAAGTGTGGAACAAGTGAAATTTATCGCCACAAGTTCCCTTCCTTGCTTATGGCTACCGGAACATACTAGGACAAAGTATTAAATAACACACTATGTTGGCACTGGAAAGCTACGTGATAAATGATTTTACTGGCTAACCTATAATTCTAGCCGTCTAAGAACCATTGTATATCTGTATCACTTAGGTGAACTAAGCAACCAAATAGCAAGAAGATATACTTTTCCAATTTCCTATTTAAGAACAATAAGTTTTGTTTGCCTGGTTTGAATTTGCTCGTCATGGTCATATAGAAACAGACATGACTATTTCAAAAGTAATACGATTTATCGTCTAAATCTCTGGTAAAGTACTTGGACCTTACAGACACCCTGAATTAATTGTGAAATACTGTACTGTTGGGTCACATACCGCAGCCGGAAACATCACAGGATCAAATACCTCATGTGACCAGCCATGCAATGCTGATATAACTTTCGCCACTTTCTTCTTGACACCTATATCAAATGCATGATTAGCCCATGTATTAAAGAAACAAAAAGAGCAATTGTCAGACTTTGACTCTTACGTTTGTCTAGCGCATCTTTATCCAACTTCTGAGAATCATTTCCAGTGAAGTGAGTGCCCTCAATCCCATCCTTAGCCCATTCATGACACCTTTTGGTCTCTTCATCATCAGCAAAAATATTCACTGGGTTCTTAATTGCTCCATGGCTACGCAGAGCAGACTTCTCTTTCAGGATGGACCTCTCATTGCGGGTGTTAGACACATCCTGAAGAGGATGCCTCTCTTTCAGGATGGACCTCTCTTTGAGGTTGTTAGACACATCGTGAAGTGCAGGCCTTTCTTTCAAGGTGGAGCTCTCTTTGATGGTGGATCTGTTCTTTAAAGCAGTGCCTTTATGAATGTTAGACACATCCTGAAGAGCCTTCCTCTCAGGTTTTGCTGATGATTTGAGTGGTTTAGCACTTGGTGCATCAACCCTGTTTTCTGAACATGTGGATCAAACAAGTTGGTTATATGTTTCATAAGCTTCCTAGACACAAAACAGTTTCCAGGGAAAACAATCTCACCTTTATGTATCTGCATGTTCTCATCAAGCAAAACAGCTGCTGCAGCTGGCAAAGCCATGACCGGACAGAAAGGTATCTTTCTCTACCTCGATGAAAACCTGACTGGAGTTCAATTGATTGGTAAGGGGGAGATACTCAGAATATAGAAATACTAAACTACAACTTCCCTACACTATTAAGATATACAGAAACTGAAAACGATTTCGAAATGTGCTAAACAGATGCTAATTTAAGACAGACTGAACATTTCAACCGAATTAACTAACGGGAAAAGCACAACTGCTGCAGAGTTGCATTACGTCTTACAGAGATAGATTCTGAAATTTGATGTAGCAAAAGTATACAGCTGGTGGCAGAGCAATCTAACACAGACTATATAATAGCACTTCTCATGGGGAAGCCTTAAGGGTTATCATCAAAGCGCTTGGACCAGCGGCAGCCTCTGGTCTAGATTAGTTGAAACTCTAGCCCAAGAACATCAAAACGCACATCTCGTCTAGAAAAATCAAGCAATATCGGACTGAAACTTTACACAAATAGCCTATAACAAACTAACAACGGAAGGATTTCCTTTTGGCTTCCCTGTCATAGCATTAGAAGATACAGGACGCGACTAGAATCCTTCAGCAAAACAAGAGGGTTGAAATCTTAGGCGCAAGAAACGAGATAAATGGACGGAATATCTACCACGTGGCAACAGTGAATAAGGGTGAACAGAACCTCCAAACGAGGCATCCCATCCCTAGAGCGCGCGATTACATGAAGAACAGGACGGGACATCGCGGCAGCCTTAGGGTTTCGATTTGGTTGCGCACATCATAGCAAGGGGACGGCGAAAAGAAATCAGTGCAAAGTCGAATCGATGCAAGCCAAGAAGCGGTAGGGTTTACCCGCGCAGGAGAGAAGTCAATCGGCCCGTTGTATCTCAACTCAACTCCGCTCCGGGACGCAGCAGCAAGGAGGACGCGGACAGCGGACTGGAAGAGAAGGGACGACCGCTCGGCGGCGGTTGCGCTCGCTGTTTTGCCAGGTATCGATCGGCACGCGCGGGAGTTGTGGCGTTACCGGCGGCCCGGCGGTACCTCGGAGGATTTGGGGGCGGCGAGAGAGAAAAGACGAAGAAAAGGGAAGGCAACGGTCGGATTTTGGGTCGGTGAATGTTTGTCTACGGACCCATAAGGCGGCATGGCCTTTTAAACTCCGTCGCAGACCAGCCCAACGGTGAATCCGTCCAGTCTGTTTCGACCAGCGCTGAGCCCACTTTCCAGGCCCATGGAAAGCATTTGCTATGGTCGTGCGGAAGGACCTGTAGAGCCTTCCTAGCACGTCAGATCTGGGTTCAAGTTTTCGTTAGAATGAATATTATAGAATTTAACGAAGCTACGCTTTCAGGTGCAGGAAATATTCTCGTTGACAGCGAGACGTCTATGATAATTTTGTCAATATTGAGAATTTGCCGACCCAGTCTTCGAAGGAACTCATAGAGATAGAGTTTACATACGTATATTTGTATGGGTGAGTATGCATGCATGCGTTGTGAGCGTATGTAGTTCTAATTTTTTTTTTGCTATGGTCGGTTAGGTTTTATGTCATGCTTATTAATATAGTTGGTTTTACTTTTCTGTTATTGTCACCATCAATCATCAATCCCTTAAACCGAAGAGAATACTGAAGAACGGACATATGGATTCCCTGAAACAGACCATAACAGTCGATCGAGCTCAGTGATTATTTAAGCATGATCAGAAGCTTCTTTGTAGTCTGTACTCTTACCAAGGTTAATCTGTACTGGATCAAGTTATCAATCAAAGCTTTCACTAAATTATACTAGTATATTTGCCCGTGCTAATGCTACATGAAACCAAAAGATGTTTTTTTCTATAAAAAAAGAGAGGGAAATAACAATAAACACAAAATTCTTAAAAATATTCCAGCAACAAATCAGTGCCAGGTTTGACGACTCACGGGGCCGTACAGAGAGTTCACATCCGCAACAAATCAACTATTGCGATGTACACTGAAACGGATCTTCATCGACACAACCCAGAAATTTTAGTTTTCGACATCGATAATATGATGTACACCTCAAAAGGGCTACTAAGATCATTGCGCATTTATAACAGTAAAAGAATGAAAGCCTAGCATAGCTTCTGTATTTTGCATTGCACTCCCTTCGTCCCTAATTATCAACTTTCTTAGAAACTTCTCTAAGTTTGACCAAATTTATATAATAAAATAATAATGTTTATGATACCAAATAATTATAATTAGATTCTTCATTAATTATATTATTATATTTTTATAGTATACCTATTTGATGTCATCAATTTTTGTAATTTTTTCTATATAATTTTGGTCAAATTTGAGATGCTTTGACTATGCAAGAAAGTTAAGAATAACTTATAATTTGGAATGAAGAGAATACGTCAACCTATATTCATGCCATCTAATATCAACCGATATTCATGCCATCTAATATCAGCTTACATATGGTAACTGAAAATTTTAATAATCATGACAAGTATGTAAAGTGCCGACCCTGTATCCTATCATTTAGGGCCTACACTCCCAAAATTCCCCTAGGCTACAGATTAGATTGCAACTTTGCCAAAACATGATCAGTATGTACTGCCAAGTAACCAATGGGCAGCAAAGGGTAAAGAATAAAGTGCAGACAGCAAAAATGATTCTAATCTCGCTTTTTCTCCAAGTTTGCAACTGCCTGTTTCTGGCGCTTCTCCCACGCAGGCATCTTTCCTGGGAACATCCATCGCAGAAGCCGCTCCCATCCGTAGCAACCACAAAACATTAGAATAGCCCACAACATCAATTTGCCACGCATTCCCTCAGGCAAGGGTTCAAGCTTCATGTAGTCATTCAAATCCCTGAACATATCTGATGTGATCACTGTGAAGAAAGCAACCGCTCCATACAACGCATACTTGAAGGGCTTGTTCTCAGATATGCTCTGATTAAATGGGTGGCCCATGTAGTTTACAGCAAAGGTTGCCACCTGGATCATCATGTTCACCATGTATGAAACTGTATTCACAAGGTTTGGATGGAAGTCTGAGTCGGGCTCAATGCATTCCTCTGGCATATGCTTTGATGCTTCATTGACAGCTGTGATGAGGAAGAATATGTGCATGGCGAACTGGCCAAGAATGGAGAGCAGAACGTATGCACAGAATATGTTAGGGTGAGGCCGCTCTGCAGACAGTGTTTGGAGTGGCCGAGCATGGGAGATGAAGAGGAAGAAGGCTGCAGTAAAGACACCAATGATTGTAGCCTGAACATCGCCCAGTTTGACACCATCCAAGTACATGACACTGAGAACGTAAGCCGTTGCAAGGCAATTGAGCCCAAGAATCTTGAACATTTGAAGTGTAGTGACTAGAGTGCTTCTCCCCTGACGGATGATGTCAAGAGTAGGGGCAACAGAGGCATGCTTTGCTGTGAAAGGTGAAGCCATAGAAGCATCACCAAGCTTAACAATTGGTGCTGAACGGCCATCACTTTCATCATTCATTTCATCCAACATTTTCTGCAGCTTTTCTCGCTGCCTCTCAGCAGCAGTCATGGGGCGGCTGCTCGATGCTTTAGCAGAACTATTAGCTGCTGGAGTCACTTGTGATGATGCTTCATTAGCAGGCTTCTGTTTTTTCAATTTCCCAGATTTATTTTCAGCTTTGGATTTTGAGTCGACTTTCTGAACTGGTTGAGCATTCAAAAGAGCTATGCCAACATGTGCCTGAAATTTTTTAAAAGATCATGAAATGAATGGCAAAAACAATGATATGATAAGGTAGTTAACAAGAGTCCTATATTTCAGTAAACAAATTCAAAGTGTCAGTAGAAAAATAACAGGCCTAACAAAAGCAATGTAGAATTTGCCTGAGGTCAGAAATTTTAAAATTATTATCATTCAAGTGGTTCACTATCACCATATTACAGTTATCACTTATCATCAAACAGGTAATGAAAAGAACAAAACACCAGGCCAATATTGGTCAATTTGCATATCAGTATTCAGTAGCATGGACCTCTGCCACTCACAGTTACTGGCTCAAACTTCTTCCACATGTGCCATACTTCTAGCATAAGTATAAGTCACCTCTTAAGAGAGTGTAAAGAATGTCCAATTACATTCTGTTATATTACATAACAGGAAAGAAGTATTACCATGATGCCCTCAACTAATAAAACAAGAAACATGAATATAAGGCACCAATTGTAGCGAAAAATCTCTACACAATCAGTGTCAGTAAACACTTCCAGGATCAATGCAATAATTGTCATGGTAACAAATAATATGCCTGTGTGGAATAAGGTCATAGAAACCAGAATAATAGAGTAGTTTTCTATGTAAATTGAGCAAAACTAAGTGGGATACAGGACAGGTAATCACCTGCTTCAGTGCACCAACATCATTGGTTCCATCTCCACACATCAGTGTCACCCTCCCAACACTTTTGAATGTAGTCAGTACAAGTTCTTTTTGTTCTGGAGCAACACGTGAAAAAACCTAAAAGAATGACAATTAAAAACTATAATAACAGCTAAGCATACAAATGAAAGCTTTCATATTTTGTACAGGGGATGTAATCTGTTCACACATATACCTTCACATAAGGGATAACCTGGAGAACAGCCTCAGTACTTTGCAGCATTTCAAAACAGTCCCCATTAATACAAAGGTCATGAGATTCTGATAACACTGCAACCTCCACAGCACTGCAAAACAACATATACACAATATCAACTCAAAAGGACACAAACAAGCCACAAACTGCACAATATCAACTCAAAAGGACACAAACAAGCCACAAACTGTATGTGATAACAATGCCAGAAGAGATGCTAAACAACAGACTTAATATATCAACACTAAGTCTGAGAGATTAACAAGAGAAAAGAAATTGTATTATTTGTTAACTTGAGGAAATGCTTGTAATAATAATCATTTTTCCTGGACAAATGGGACACAATTATAATCTTTATAAAAATTTAGTCTGATAAAACAAGCAACATAATATTTGTTGCGAAGAGAGAGATCAGACTACTCTCAGTCTCTCGCACTGGAACAGGGTAAAGATTTGCCAGGCAACAAAACAAGGTTCGAGCTCAACACAAAAGAATCAGCAAAGATACAAGCACTGTATATAGACAGTTACCTGTATGGAGCTCTATCAGTTTCATCTGGCGAAACCCACTCAAAACCACCAGTCTTTATCCGTGTCAAGATCAAAACAGGTTTGGAAGATATATGTACTTGGCTAGCAACATGGCAGGCAGTCAACGCTTGGTCTCCAGTGATCATGACCTAATAACACCAGCAAGCCACATTAGTCAAACAAAACAGAAATAGCATTACAAATTTTCAAAGGTTGCTGCTACGAGTACACTAGCATGTCTGCTAGCCTTGGGCAATGTACTTGTATATGTATAACATTACTGGCACGAAAACAAGTTTCCGGCACAGCTGAATTTATTACCAATAATAAATGGTTACAAGATAAATAGGAGGATATACCAAGTCATGGGAAGATTGTCCCAGTTCTTGTAAGACAGCACCAGAGTCGCTCCTTATAGGACAGTTGAAGACCTGAGTCCAACAATCCAACACAGCCACAGAATTAAGATAAACATGTCATCCAACGTAACTAAGATAATTTTGAGAGAAAAAAAAGATGCATAAGAGGAAGATTACATACCGCAAAACCAGCAAATGTTAGGTCGCTCTCTACTTGATCCCTTTCCAAACTTCTAGCTTCACTAACCTGTTATTTAAACACCAAGAGGTCAAACAAATCTAACCTGATACACTTTTCATAGAAAAACAAACAAAAAGATATGAAAAAAATGCAATAGCTGTAAAATTCAAAGGATAATAAGTTAAATGTATGCAGATAATAAACTCTGTTTGAAAGTTTAAATAAATAAGTTAATGAAATATGCTTCATGAAATCTAACTTCTAGACCCCCAAGCCAGTGAATAAACATCAAGGGAAATGTATTTTATTTCAAAATACATCATTATCCGACCTTTCAAGAATAAATTAGCTCAGTGTGACAGATATCATGTGCACGAATCAAAACATATCAAATAGCATATAAAGAGTACAATTATGAAATTTGTATAATGATGCATTTCCAAGTTCCCATTTTTGTACAGCAACAATTCTTTGAACAGCAACATTTCAACTAGCACATCAGCACCATCAAAGTTAATAAAAAACACAGGATCCCAATTTCCAGTAAATATTCCATCAGAGTATCACATCAGCATGTGAAGTATCATTGGATTATCACAAAACTATGTTGGTACAGTTGGAATTTGGATGATCCCTTTGCAATAATAAAAAAGTTTTGTGCTTTGTTCTGGCTCGGGGAATTTATAATTCCATCAGATCATGCCACAAGCTGCATGCATGTAGAGTGGATTATCACAACCACAATGCTGGGACAGTTAGAATTTGGACGGTCCCTTTGCATCAAAGAATCAAGAAGTTTTTTGCTTTGTTCTAGCACAGGAATTTTATGGAAGTACACTGACAAAAGAATAACAGAATAGAAGAGAATGGCTATAGGCAAATGACATGATTAATATCAACAGAAACTTACAGGCATCTCAGGAAGCAATTTGTATGCAAGAGCCAAGACCCGAGAACCTTGCCGTGTGTATTTCTTATATGTCTCCACATATGCAGCAGGTAAATCAACTAATCTCTCTTGGATGGTCTCTGGTGCACCCTGAAGATCACAAAATATAAGACACATGGATATATCTAGAAAAAGAAGATCAAGTTAAACAAGATCTTGGAAAAAGAATTAAAAGGAATCTCACAGGACCATCAACCAGAGAAACAATTTGACTGACAAGTTCTTATGGACTGAAACAAAAAATCATGCCTTCTTGTTTTCCAAATTATGAAACTCAACAGATATTGTGATTTTACTTTTTTTTTGCCAGCTACAATATTCTCCCTTTTAACTGTGGTAGAAAGCAAGATACTGCACATGACTACTGAATAACAGCTATTCTAATGTAGATTGATCCAACCATAGTTTCAAATGGAGCATTGGTTGCATCATTAGTTCACTGAGGTCCATATATTATTGACATTTTTTTTCTGAAGACTTGACATTGCCGTTTTGGAAAATTCTAGAAAAGGATTTCCTCTAGTTAGCAGAAACAGAAGTGGGGCTCCCATGGTGATTTCATTCAACAAATTTAGTTCATATACAGGCAAATAAAGATAAAAAGTATACCATAGTCACACTAATAGAGAGTACACAGGCAATTTGAGATAAGACTTTTCAAAGATTTGCTCAAACTGCAGATGACCAAGATGAACTCAGCTTTCAACTTTAAATAGATCGTGTGGATGAATGTTGGGAAGCATAGAAGAGATCTCTGCTGTCAATATAGATCTGATGAAAATTTCTGCCTTTTTTCCGGAGCAATGGTATGGACTACAGAGAATTGTCTTGTCATTTGCTCCAAACCTCAAGCGCTAAATATTCAATGTATCAAAACCCTATGAAGATCATTTTGGTTGCTCCAAGGTATAGATGTCTTGGAACAAGAGAAAATACTATGTTTCATTATGTTACAAGCAAATAATATGTTTCATTATGTTACAACTATGATCACATTTACATTCAAGGCAAAAAGAGACTGTTTCTGAACTACCCCAAATAGGAACTGACGGAGTAACAACTTGTGTAAAACCATGAGACCAAAATTTCATTGGATCTCTCAGAATTCTTACCTTAATGAAAGCGTAAAATTTCTCCTGAATACGGACGATAACAGACATTCTCTTCAAGTGAGAAGCAAAATGGTACCTGTGCACAATCTGTACAGGTTGACCACCAGGCCTGCGATGAAAGAAAACATGAATTAACACATACAATTTAATACCTTATGCTCGCAGTGGAGCAGGAAAAGCAGTAATAACTAATAACCACCCAAGATATTCTTTCCTGGTGACAACAATAATATTGAATTTTATGATTTCATCAGGTTCACTTGATCATAAGCTCACTTGCTTACATATTTATGCAGGTTAATACATACGACAGCTTACTTTTTAGACATGGCCTTCTCATCAGATGTGTAGATCCAGTCTATGCCCTTTATAGCAGCCTTTTCGAGGGGATCACCAACCTTTATTAAGATGAAAGATACCATCAAACGTTTTCACAGTTACTAGGTTATACGTCAGACCACCTAAAAAGCAGTTAGTTATTAGATAATTGCACACGACATACCAGCTTGTTGTCGACAAATACCAATGCATGGCAACTGGAAAGCACTTCTTGAGTTCGGAGGGGCAGCTTATTTGCATCAGATATTAACTCATCGTCACCTTCCAAAGTAACTATACCTTGGAATTCCTGAAACACAGGGTTTGTCATCCCCTCAGCCTCTGATTGAATAAGGAAATAAACTAAGCATATAACTTACCATATCATCTGATGTCAGAGTCCCTGTCTTATCGAAGCAGCATATGTCAACCTGATCAAAGAAAACTCTTAAAAAGCTTGAAAAGAAAGGAGAAACAGGGACTCATAAGGTTTCTTACTAACCTTCCCAGCAAACGGTATTCTGAACGGCTCTGTGCAGAAAATACCACGCCTAGCCAATGCAATTAAAGATGTGTTGACTGCTATGGAGAGCTCCATTGGCAATTCCGGGGGTATCACAGAAGTAATAATCAATGAACAACTCAAAAACAGTTTATATCTACTCCTTGTTGGGTCCTCTAGTCCCTATACACAAATAAAACAACGGTTCAATAGAAGACAAGAGGAGGCAAAATGGGCTAAAGAATAGGATAAAAAATAATGATTCACTCTATAAATAATATAGTTACTGGTGTTACCTTCGTAAGCACATAACCGGACGCAATAATTGCAAAGAAGAGCAAAAAGAGTATAAACAGGCCACTTTCCTTGTTATTTGCAGTAACCTGTTATTTTCATTAAAATGCAGGCATCAGATTTTCATGACTTCGGATAATTTACTTTCATTACTGAAGATGAAGAAGAAGATGTTACCCTCTCAGTTGAAAATAAGATAGTCCTCATCAATTTCCCTTGGCTAGTCTCAAATCCAGTCCTCAATACAAAAGCTAGACAACCACCATCAGGTGCTCGAAGAATTACAGACTATAAAAATAAACATATCAGCAACGGAATTGGGCACAGACAGCTAGCTCAGGAGATGTATCTACCTTATCTGCAGTGTGTTGCAATACTTTAGTGCCACCAAATAGGATATGGTTCTTATCCCGCTTTATAGATAGCATATCCTCAGGACCACGTCCAGCAATTGAAACCTATCAGTAGATGTGGTCAGAGCCAAAAAAAACAAATAATTATGCAGTTAAGGCATAAGAATAGGGTTTTGTGCGACAAAAATACAGATGCTATTGAAGCATACTGTCAATTTCATCCGCTTCCCATAATGATTGAACTATTAATAGCTATACAAAATGAACTGGATATAAGCTTGGTTTTTCTACGGAACCAATGCCCTCCGGAAACTTGGTCGCAAATTTTAGTAGTTTCATGTAAAGCATTGGTTTTTAGTTTAATATTTAAGCACAGTTGACTGTTGTAAATTGTAATGGATTCAAACAGAATGTGCAAGAATGGCATACTGTAATAGTCCAGTAAATGACTCTTCAGTTCCAATTTATAAACTAGAATGGCAACCAGAATGCATTATTTAAAAATAGGATTGAAAGCACAAACTGTCACAATGAAACTATTTTTTTTCTAATTATTAAATACATCCAAGAGAAAACAAAAGAAAACCTTCCACTGTGGAGTAGATTCTCCTGTAAGAATAGCTTCATTTACTATTGCAGACCCAGCTAACAATAGCATATCTGCTGGTACAGATCTATCTTCACCACTAATTGAGCGACCTATTGACACAATATCTCCTGGTAGTAGTTCAGTTCCAGGGATTTTAACCCATCTGAACAAAAAACACGCAGTTAGGATGGGATATATGCTGAAACAGAAAAAAACTTAAATGAAATGGAGGATCCATACTTTCCACATCTATAGGTCAACACAATCTGGCTATCAACTTTCACACGTCTTAGCTCAGTCAATGTCTTCAGCCTATTCTTTGCCATAGTAGACTCAAACAGGAAAAGCATGAAAAGTGTAAACAAACTGTAGTACCAATACTCATCCAGGCACCAAAGAGCAACACAAAAAACCTGCATAAAGAAGCCCTCATTAAAGATATATAAGTGAGTTTACTCAGTATTGAGATAAAAGAAAGTAACCTGGAAAACAAAAAATGGTTCCATGATTTGCTCCTTCATTAATTTCTGAAATGTGGGCTGTGGATACTCGAATCTGGAGAGAACAATAAATATTGTCAGCCACTGTTGCTAGACAGATTCATATGGTAAAAGAGATCTATTATGTTCAATTTGATGCAAAAATCACTAGTACATTGGTTATTTGATTTAAGACATACAGATTCTGATGCAACCACGGCCACTGTCCATAACTGAAATTCCCTAGGCACATACTATGTTCTTACTTTAGTTCTACTAATAGATCATCCCTGCGGCAAATATTCCTCTATTTAGTATTCATAATTTGGAATTAAATTAAAAAAGTTGGATGTTGCAGATATTACTGCATCCTCCCACCGGTTTAGTCACAAATACATGTCGTTTTGGATGGTAGCATGGTCTCCAAAATGCAGTGATCACTAAAACATATTACCTCCGGTCACAAAAAACTTGTCGTTTAGGACAAGATTTGGTCAAACATAAACCAGATACATTAATAAATACTCCCTCCATGCCAAATTGTAAAAACGTTTTGGACATAGTGTATATCTAAGTACATAGCAAAAGCTATGTATCTAGTAAAAGCCAAAATGTCTTACAATTTTGAATGGAGGGAGTAATACATTATTTTTATTTGGTAGCATGTAAGTTATATGTGCCTATTTGTAATTAAAATGCTTGTAAAATCTCTTATATTTGAAGGATTTTAAGAATATACTATGGTCAAATATACGAAATGAAGATCATGCAAAGTCAAATGTGCCAAGTATTTGTGATCAGAGGGGGTATCATATTACATGTACAAAAAACAAAATTATAATAATTGCCAACATCCTTTCCCTACACAGATCCAGGAGTCCAATCTGAACACTTAGAATATTTATAGCCAAAAGTTGGATAGCAAGTATGTCCAAAAGGACAAGGATTTGTGATCAGACGAAGGGCCTGTTTGGATACACATGGCTAGTTACTAGTTGGGGCTAAAACAACAACAACAGCAACAACAACAAAGCCTTTTTAGTTGGGGCTAAAAATTAGCCCAAATTAGCTATGATTGGCTAGCTAGTTGGCTAAAAACTAGTTGAAGACATGGCAAAAAAAAACCCCACCTATTAGCCCTCCTATTTCGATGCACTAGCGCTAATTTGGGCTAATTTTTAGGTAGCTAGCAATTAGCCCTTGTATCCAAACAGGCCCTAAGTACGAAGGGAATCCACTATAGCAACAAGTTATGTAGCATATCCATGTATGCACAAATTCCTTCAGCTAGCTACTTGCCTACTCTTTTAAATCTAGTCCACAATTGAATCACCTGTTATAGTACAAGTCTACTTTGGATAACATGTGAAATAAACGTGCATCACAGGTCAGCAACACTCATCCCCTCTCATAGTGGGTTCCCCATAAGTTGAATTGTGAATTTCCTTCAGGTAGTGCTGCATGGAGCAAATTTTAATATCCAATTGGGCATTGTTAGACGTTAACCTTAAATTAAGTTCAGCCTTAGCCTCTTAAACTACATTTGTGTTTCTCGTGTTTGTTTGGTCTACACAATTCTTTGATCTACGCAATTCTTTGATTAAAGGTTCTGTAGCTCAACAACTGAAAGCATAGAATGAAATAGGGAGGGGAGCAGCGATGCAGCTTACACGTTTCTACCCCACTTATCCACAGCAGTGCCAATCTTGGCCTCAGTTCCATAACCAGTGCCCTTGGCATAATGACCGATCAACTCCTTCGTTGGGTACCGGAGTTTAAAAAAGTTATCTTTCTCCACCGAGTAGATGAACCTCTGCTTCCGAAAATCAAAGTAAATCTCCTCTGTCTCACCTGCAGCCGAAGTTGAGGCCACCTGAACGAACACTCAAACAACACACTCAGTAACCCCCAAAGAGAACTGAAGGCGCAACAAGCTCTCAGGGAAAAAAAAAGGATTTTGAACTCACAACTCTCTGTATGTGCAGGGGTACAATCTCCTTTGACCCCGAGAACTTAGCCGGAGTCACCTTACACGTGTTAGCGGCACGGATATCCTTGACCTACAATATCGCCAAGCTCAAGCCGTTCAGCCCTAAAATCTAAAGAGTTAAAACAGATATGGATAATGCTGACTAGATGGGTTAAGGATTGAGAGGCAACTCGCCTTGGAGTACCCAACAAAGGCCCGGAAATCGACGGACCAGGCGGTGAAGAGGAAGGCGAGGATGTGAGCTGCGGAGAGCGCGGTAAGGACGATGAGAGCGTCGCTGAAGTCGAGCGCCGGGACGGCGAGCAGCAGCCAGAGCGCATAGAGCGCAAGGAAGGGCCAGAGGTCGAGGCGCGACGCCCAGTGGCGCCGCCGCAGCAGGTCCACGCCTTGCACCGACTTGCCGTTCACCTCGAACCGCGCCATGCCGGCGCCGCGGCCACCCGGATCGGAGAGCGCTGCGGAGCTGCCGAGAGTCTCAGATCGGGTCCTGATGCGGACCAAACAGGTGACACAAGTGGAGATTTGGGGAGGGTTTACCGATTCGGCTCGACGGGACTCGACCGGCGGCGGCGACCGGCGGTGGTGGGCGGGCGCCGGGCGGCGGCCGCGACCGACGCGAGGGCTTTTGTCGCCGCTGCTGCTTCGCTGCGCGGTTCTACTCTCCGTCTCGTCGTCCGCCTCGTCTTCAGTGGTTTTACGATGTGGAATCCCCACGACGATCTGAATTCTCGAGAGACTTTTCCTTTTCGTTTTCCTTTCGTAATTTAAGCAAAGTTTGTGCCAAGCTAAAACAGGTGGATCCGAGAGAAACTGAACGGTTTGATGAACAAGATGCTAAAGTTAAAGTATAATAGCACACTATTTTTAATTAGTTATATATATAGCTAGCAAACATGATGCATCTTTACGGTTTAATTTTTTTTTTCAAATGACTGTGTCATACGTTCCAATTCATTTTGTAATCAAACTCCTCGATGTACGTGACGAGTAACCATGGCTTGCAACGCGGCAAGCTTGATGTGTGTTTGGTTTATTGTTGTAATTATGGCACGTCGTACTTTTTTAGCATCTTGTCTTATATTATAGATTTATTTATTTTCAAACTTTACCATAAAAGTGGCTTCAATTTTGTAACGGAGCTTGTGGATGACCTAACTTGAGTTGTGAGCGGTTGTGGGTGATTCACCGTGATGAAGTGTCAAAGAATCAACTCGTAGAGAGCACTTGATCTTTGTGCGGATCAAGGGGGAGCAACACTCTTGCACGGGTGCTCCAACGAGGACTAGTGGAGAGTGGCGACTCTCCGATACCTCGACAAAACATCATCGCATTCATTCTCCTTTCTTTACTTTGAGCATTTACTTTTGAGCAATTCAATTCTTGTCTTTATATTCTTAGAATTATCATGCTAGAGTAGGATTGGAACTTATGTTGCTAAACTTTTATGTGGTAGATCATTAGAATCACATTCTAGACATAAGGGGTGAAGTGGGCTAAGTGTATGGCTTAATTATTACAAAAAATTTTAGAATTAGCCCAATTCATTCCTCTCTTGGGCATCTTGATCCTTTTATATCGGTCTAGCCAAAACTATATCTTCTATTTAAGTTCTCAAGCACCTTACAAAGATTCTAATTAGACAATAAAGGTGCCGGGCTAGGTAGAGCTCACATAATCAATTCTAGAGCAATATCACACAAACCTATGCCACTAGTACTTTAAACACAGGGGAGCTCCTACAACTAGTATGCAAAAGCACAAAGCCTAAACTCACTAGCAATGCTCAATAACAAAGCAATTGATGTCAAATTAGAGAGCGTAAATTACTTAGCTACACAAACTGAGCAATATGACTAACAAGGTTACTAAAACTAAATTAACCACGCAAAGGAGCTACTTCTATGCTACACAAGCAAGAAGGCAACTAGCAAGCTACTAAAGCTAAACTAGTCACAAGAGCAACTACCCAAGCACAATGTATAAAATGTAAATACAAGCTTATGTTACGCGGAATGCAAATCCTAGTCACAAGAGCAACTACCCAAGCACAATGTATAAAATGTAAATACAAGCTTATGTTACGCGGAATGCAAACCACAGAGAAAATGATGAAGACAATATTGACATGGTGATTTTCTCTTGAGGTTCACTTGGTCGCCACCAAGCTACGTTCCTGTTGTGTCGACCGCTCACTTGGTGGTTCGATGACTAATTGGCATCACTCGCCAAGCCTGTACGTCGGGCACCATAAGAACCTACCCCGAAAGTAAGGGTAGCTCAATGACACGCTCAACTAGAGTTGTTCTTTGTGATCCTCACGGGATGAGCACAATCCCCCTCACAAATCCTCCTCCGGAGTACCGCACAATCTTCTCGCATACTTCAACGGAGTCACAAGCCACCAAGCCATCTAGGAGGTGGCAACCTCCAAGAGTAACAAGCACCATCGGCTTACAACACGATCACCTAGTGCCACTTGATGCAACCTCATGATACAATCGCGCTAGAATTGCTCACTCACTCGATCGAATGAACACTATCAAACATAAGTGAGTTAGAGGGCTCCCAAGCACACCTACACAAGCCACCAAGGCTTAAGGGTGCTCAGCAACCGGCCAAAGGCCGGCCAAGGGGCTATTTATAAGCCCCCACATGAAAAGAGTTGTTGTACCTCTTTACTAGGCAAAACTTGGGGTGACCGGTCGCGCAGTTCCAAGCATCCGGTCGCTGCCATGTGTCCACGTGTCCCAACCATTTGAATGTAGCCATTGGCGTCCAATGGCTAACTTCGTGCATGCCTTCAACTGATGATCGGACGCGCCACTACGAGATAACTTGACACCCGAGTGAAAGTTCTAGTTTGGTTTTGGTAAATTAATGAAACCTTAAGTGTTAACTTAGTTTATCAAAGTGATCATAAGATAGGTAGCACTATTCCAAGTGGTGGAGCAATGGTGACGATCATGATGATGATGTGATAACCATGATGATCAAGTGCTCGGCTTGAAAAAGAAGAAAGAGAAAAACAAAAAGCTCAAGGCAAAGGTGAAACTTGATAGGAGCTTTTTGGTTTAGTGTTTAAGACACTTATCGAGTGTGATCACATTTAGGATCGATAGCCGTACTATTAAGAGGGGTGAAACTCGTGTCGAGATGCGGTTATCAAAGTGCCACTAGATGCTCTAACTCATTGCATATGCATTTAGGATATAGTGGAGAGCTAACACCCTTGAAAATATTTGTGAAAATATGCTAACACACGTGCACAAGGTGATACACTTGGTGGTTGGCACATTTGTTCTTAGGTGACAAAGTTGGTGAAATCAGGGAGCTCACTAGAGTTGACCGGACGTAGGATCGGACGCTGGACCTGCGTGTCCAGTCAGTGGTGGCTCAGTGGTGCTGCTCTCGGCCTGTGATCGGACTTAGGCGAGGGCAAGTGATCGGACGCGACGGTGGTGAGTCTGGTCGCTTGTGATGTACGCTGACGCAAGCAAGGAGAAGGGCCAGGGAGGATCGGACGCACTGGCGTGTCTGGTCACTCATGAACGGACGCGTCTGGTCATGAAAAATCCTCTCTGGTGCCTTACTGGAGTTGATCTGACGTGGTGTTTGTGCGGCGTCAGGTCGGGCATGGTGCATTCGGTCATGGCTGGGTGGCTATGCAGGCGCGTGTGAGCGAACACGACACATGGTTTTGACCGTTGAGGCATAGTTCTTGACCGTTGGAGATCGACGGGCGAGGTTTAAAGAAGGTGACACATGGCAACGGATACGTGATCGGACGTTGGGTGTCTACGTTCGTTCGTATCAAACGACACGTCCAGTCAGCCCGCAGTAGTAGGGTTTTAAGCCCAATGGCTATGTGGTCGGTTGGGGCTCTATATAAAAGTGTTGGCCGGCTCTTGCTCACTCTCTTGGTCATTTTCATTGACATAGCAACCTTGTGATCTTAGCCAAAGCCCTCCCACTCATTTCCATTATTGATTTATCATCTTTATGAGATTGGAAGTGAATTCAAGTGCATTGCTTGAGTGATTGCATCTAGAGGCACTTGGTGTTCGTGTTTCACTGCGGGATTCGCTTGTTACTCTTGGTGGTTGCTACCAGCTAGACGGCTTGGAGCAGCGAGGATCATCGAGCGGAGGAAGGTGATTGTCTCCGGCTCCGATCGTGGTGATTATGAGGGGTTCTTGACCTTTCCCCAGCGGAGAGCCAAAAGGTACTCTAGTGGATTGTTCATGGCTTGTATGATCCTCATCTTGTGTTCATTGTGCAGCACCCTATTGAGGGTTTGGCGTGTGATGCCAATTAGCGCGTGAACCTCTAAGTGAGTGAATCGCCACAACGAGGACTAGCTTGCCGGCAAGCAAGTGAACAACAACAACAACAACAACAACAATAAAGCCTTCAAGTCCCAAACAAGCTGGGGTAGGCTAGAGTTGAAACCTAACAGAAGCAATCAAGGTTCAGGCACGTGAATAGCTGTTTTCCAAGCACTCCTATCTAAGGCTAAGTCTTTGAGTATATTCTATCCTTTTAAGTCTCCTTTTATTGCCTCTACCCAAGTCAACTTCGGTCTTCCTCTGCCTCTCTTCACGTTACTATCCTGGCTTAGGATTCCACTATGCACCGGTGCCTCTAGAGGTCTCTGTTGAACATGTCCAAACCATTCAAGTGGTGTTGGACAAGCTTTTCTTCAATTGATGCTACCCCTAATCTATCACGTATATCATTGTTCTGAACTCGATCCCTTCTTGTATGACCGCAAATCCAATGCAACATACGTATTTCCGCAACACTTATCTATTGAACATGTCATGTTTTCATAGGCCAACATTCTGCACCATACAACATAGCAGGTCTAATTGCCGTCCTATAAAACTTACCTTTTAGCTTCTGTGGTACCCTTTTATCACATAGGACACCATATGCTTGACGCCACTTCATCCATCCTGCTTTGATTCCATGGCTAACATCTTCATCAATATCCCCGTCTCTTTGTAGCTTTTGATCCTAAATATCGAAAGGTATCCTTCTTAGGCACTACTTGACCTTTCAAACTAATATCTTTCTCCTCCCGAGTAGTAGTGCCGAAGTCACATCTCATATACTCAGTTTTAGTTCTACCGAGTCTAAAACCTTTGGACTCCAAAGTCTCCCGCCATAACTCTAGTTTCTGATTCACTCCTGTCCGACTTTCATCAACTAGCACTACATCGTCCGCGAAAAGCATACACCAAGGGATGTCCCCTTGTATGTCCCTTGTGATCTCATCCATCACTAAGGCAAACAGATAATGGCTCAAAGCTGACCCTTGATGTAGTCCTATCCTAATCAGAAGTCATCCATGTCTCTATCACTTGTTCGAACACTAGTCACAACATTGTTGTATATGTCCTTAATGAGCCCGACGTACTTCG